CTCAGTAATAAACGAAGTCTGTAAGCAGGTATTTTTAACTCTGTTGTTGTTTAAGATTAAAAATATTACTAAGGACAGTTCTCTGTTTATCTCTGTGTGCATTCTCATCATGGCTATTATTTAAAACTGTGTAGCCAGTGGGTATAAATAATTTAAAAAACAAAATTCTAGCATGGCATATAACAGGAAGGGGTCATGAACCAAAAACAGAATTTAAATATTCAACTAAAATAATGGTTAGTGGAGACAATGCCCTAACTGAAAGTTACTCTGCAAAGGACACAGGCCAGTGTGTACAGTGTTTTGTTTGCTTGTTTGATTTGTAAAAGAAGCCAATATCCGGCTGACTAAGATTCTGAATAAGATTGGGAGATGGGTATGAGGGGGACAAATTCCCATAATTCCAAATTCCTGTTGAGGAAAACAAACCTCCCCGCCTGGCTACTTGGGACCACGGCTGACCCCGTTTACCTCCAGCTGTTCTGGGTCACAGAGGAAAAGGGCACCGATGACCCTCCATGCCGCAGGAGCAAGTCAGCTAGTCTTTATGGATGAAGATTTCCCATGCTTGTTTTTAACAGGCTCGTCTTGGTTACAAAACCTCATCTCTTCTCCCCAGAGGGTGTGCTGATGATGACAGACTGCGGGCGTCAGGAATCAGCTCATTTCTTTAGGGTAGCAAAAGAGTTGGGGGTGCATGCCCTGGACTCGATGCCTGGGCTGGGGTTTGGCTCTGAAGCCCAACAGTGCGGTGACCCTGGGTCACTTTGCCAGGCCTCACCCACCCTGGAGGTGGCTCCGGTTATCATGCCCATTTCGTATCTTAAAGGCTGAGTCACAGGAGAGTTATGTGCCTTGCAGTGTATTATCTAGCATTTGGCACAGAACAGCACTCGATAAAAGCTGGCTGTTACTGTTTGAGATGTTAGAAGCCAAATCTGGAAGCCGTAGAAGCCACCTCCCTCGAAGGCACGTTCTCACGCGTCTGGGACGCACGTTCCGCGTCGCTGCGGTGTGCAAGGAAGAGGTGGGTCCAGCATGCCCATCTGGGGGTCCCCGGAAAGGTCTGCACGGTGGTACAGGCTCCACTGTCATGCCAGTAGTGCCCTGCCCCGAACCCAGGACCGGGTTACCGCCCACATTAATTCCCTTGCCAGAGAGCTCAGCCCTGTGGTCTTGGGGCTCATTTGTAAGCATGTGTACCAATGTGGTGATAATGCGGTTTACTGGCCTCTATCGGCAAAGCTGTGTTTTCTGGCAAAGAGCAGAGCTCCTCCTTGGAGACGGGAAGTTGGTTTTCTTCCCCGCCAGTACGAACGTATTCCACAGAAGGAAGGACAGAAGGTTCCAGAAACCTTTTTCTTTTTCTTTTTCCTTTTACAAGAAATTATTGCATGAAAGTATTGTATTATTTTAAAAATAAAATAGAGCAGCTTTAGGCCAAGAAGTTTGAATGTGCTGAAGGCAAGACTTCCTCAACGGAGAAGTTATTTCATACAGGTTCTCATCGCTGTTTCAAAGTCACTTCCATCAAAGTGTGATTCATATTACTAATACAACTTTTTTCTTATAAAACGCTGCATCTGAATCCTACTTTAGTAGTTTGTGACTAAATGGAAAATTTTATAGGAATGAAAAAAATTAACTTAAGTTTTTAGTAAACACCTCGAATTTACATACCTAATAATTTAAGATGGAAAGAAACGTAGAATCAAAACAATCAAGACAGAAAGGCAATGTAAGTGTATAAACAAATCCCACAGCCGGCGAGGGTGCTTGGGCTCAGTCAGCATCCCACTGGCCTCCTGCCCCTTGCATTTCCACATTGTGGTTTGAAAAAGCTCTGATTACTTATACTCTGGTCTTTTTTGCAGAGTCTGATATGGAAGCTGGTTAATGAAACTCTGTTCTGTAAACAGAAAAGGTCTCGTAAAAGATAGACAACTTTGATCTTAGTTATATGTGGAATCTAATCAACAAAATAATTGAACGAACAATAATAGGAACAGAATCATAGATACATGGCACAGACTGACAGCTGTCAGAGGGGAGGGAGGGTGAAAAAGATGAGAATTTCTTGGATACTGTTCTGTAAACCACGGCAGAGGAGTGGAGCATATGCTGGTGTCATTATAACATGGCTGAGCCGAGTTTATGTCACGCTTGTATGTTCCTTTGTATGTGTACGTCCCACGCTAACATATGGTCCCGTTCCTTTAGGCGTATTGTGTCATGTTCTACTCCCCCTACACCCACCCAGTGCACAGAGACCCTTACTCCCCCAGCCAGCGCCTGCTCCCCTCTAGCCCAGGTGCCAAGGAGTTCAGACGGAACGCTCACCTGTGCCTGACCCCGGGCAACCCCAGTCCAATCTGGGGTACTTCACATTAGCCCCAATTCCACTGGGGTCAGCAAGTTCTCAAAGCAGGGCCCCGAGGCAGCGGCAGCGGCACTGCCTGGAGTGTGGTAGCGATGACCCCAGACAGCTGGAGCTCAGGGCCCAGGCGGCGGGGCTAACGGGCCCGCGGCGGGTTCTGGTGCTCCCTCAGGTTTGACGGCCACTGCTTTCACTTTGCCCGGCCGCGCGTGTCCCGACGGCCTGCACGGACTTCCTGGGTCTCGGGTCTTTAGTTTCTTCCTCTGATTTCCTCGTGACTGGGTCTCTGTTCTCTCTGACCGGGTTTCTGCCTGGCGTTCAGATGAACTCTAGTTCCAGCTGAGATTCCCACCTGGCCTGTGAGACTGGAGCCCTGCCAGGTGCTTTCCTTCAATACATCAGTCCCTGCCTTCATTGCTTTCCCTGTCTGGCTGGTAGCCAAGCTTGGCACTGAATCACTGGGGCCATTCGAACCCAGTCCCCCCTGGGGCATCTCTGTGACCTGGAGCCTCTTGCTGTGGCCCCACAGGCAATCCTAACACTGGCTCAGTCGACCTCCAGGCCCCTCTCCCGTGGAGGCTGTGGCTCGCGTCACTGCCTTTCATTAGCCTGTCCCGTAAGCTCAGTAACCGTTCTAGCCTGCCCACAGCCCCGTTATGATGTGCACTCTCCCTGCTGATGCGGATACTGAGACTGCACAAGCTAGGACACCTCGGTGAAGTCAGCGGGGGCCTTTGGAAACCACTGTAGGGGAGTTGGGTAAACACTGCAGGATAAACCTGTTACTGATCTGCGGACAACCTCTTCAGGATCAAGATAACAGTGGAACAGTTATATCTGCGTTACTTTAAGAAATGTTGAGATCCTTTTAATTTTTGAATATTCTGAGTTACCTGATAGCATATTCGATACTTTGTCTTGTGGGGGTTGGTATCCTCTAGTTTTCATTTCCCAAGCCCTAATCTTTCCATGCATGGATCCACCTGCTGAATTTTATTTTCAGAAATCTGCACACACCGCTCTCTCCCAGTTCCCGGGGGACCCAGTCCTGTAGGGTTTAACGCAACGTGTGTGCTCTTTGGGGGCCTGCGGGTGGCCGCCACGGCAAAAGAAACTGCAGGTCACCTTTTTATGCCTGGAAAATAATTCGACAAGCGTTTCATAACACGCTCCATTCACCTTTTGTCGAGGCTCTTTTAAAAGCGTAGCCAGTGCTCACAATACATCCAGAAGCCCCTTTTCCTGAATCTGGTTTAATGCACAGCTCTTGGCCCAGTTTAGGCATCAGCTTTTCTTATACTAAACGTCTCACCCTAACTAAACTCCCTGCATCTGCTTCCGCTTTGTCCAATGGAGAGAAAATGATCAGTAACTGTGTAACAAAAGAATGTTACATTTGTGATTAGATTCATTTAATTTTTCATGTAGCAATTGTTTTTTCAGTCCTATGACGTGCCAGACACTGTATGGTGCTGGAATAAGAGTCCTGGTCTGTAAGGATCCTCAGGGATCCTTTTCCCGTTAGTCAGATATGGTGTGGATTTGCCTTACAGAGAACCGGCGGGGACCAGGAGGGATCCTGGGATCGAGCACCATGCATGGCTATGAGAAATGCAATGTGATTCATCTGAAAGTACCATTACACGCTGGAATATGACAAGAGGATCCTTGTCAAGGAAACACTTAAATAAAGGTAGCATTAAAAAATAGAATTACCCACTTTCACAGTTGGCACAAGCAATCAATTTTTCTTTTTTTTTTTTTTATCTTCACCCGAGGACATTTTTCCATTTTTTGTTCCAATAGAGTGGGAAGGAGGGAGAGAGAGAGAGAGCAAGAGAGCGAGAGAGAAACATCGATGTGAAAAGGACACATTGAGTGGCTGCCACCCAGACGACCAACCAGGGCCGGGGACAAACTGCAACTGAGTCACGTGCCCTTAGCGGGAACAGAACCCGGGTCTCTCTGGACCGCAGGCCGACGCTCTAACCTCTGAGACAAACCGGCCAGGGCACAAACTCTGAATTTTTGTCAAACCCCCTGCCAGACGCCTACTCAGGCCCGCCGCAGCCCCCTCCGGCAGCACTGACTGGCCGCCCTTCCCGAGGCCTTGGCAGAGCTGCTTTGTCTGAGCGCGTCTGGAGCCTCCCTCTGGCTAACCTGAGGCTCGCGAGCATGTCTCAGTGTGTCCCGTGTCCCTCGTTCTATCTTAGGTGCTGCGAGGAATTAAAAACAAAATAAACATGCTGTCTCCTTGGTGCCACAGCTTTTTCTGTGTAAATCCTATTGGACTGTGAGTATCTTGAGGACGAGACCTGTCGTTACTCATTGTCGCAAACTCCGTAACATATCAGGGTGTGCTCCGTAGTGTGAATGGAGGAATGCATAGATACATCAGTCACTTGTAGGAGCAGACGGGGCAGACGGCACCCCGAGATTCCTAGGACTGGGGAAAGTCGAGTCGGTTGGCGATGGGTCATGTCACCCTGTGACTGACGGTGGGCTTCTCCCCAGGGAGCCAGTGCACAGACCTGCCCCTGACCTTTCGGCCAAGTCAGCAAGTCCACAACTGACGGCGCAGCCAGCCCCCTCAGGACGTCGCCCGTGAGACAGTGCCACTCACCTGATCTGAAGCCAGGTCAGCATGGGGGTCGTCCCTCCGCCGAACACCCAGACCGTGAAGAACACCAGCAGCAGCGTGGTCGTGAACATCATCTGCTTGGGCTGCGAGCCCGTGTCCCGAATGGCCAAGGCGAACGCGATGGCTCCTCGCAGGCCTGAGGGGAGAAAGCAAACAGAAAGGAGAGAGAGAGAAAATAAATATCTGCACAAGTCTCCCTCTCCTTTCACTGAATTTACCTGTATAATTTGCTAACAAACACAATTACTTTTCAAACACAGTTACTTTCTATACTTTAACTTTTCACTTAGAAATATGTAGTGGTAGATTCACAGGCAGCTGTGAGAAATAACAGACTTCCTGTGTGCCCTTCCCCCAACGGCAGCATCTGCAATGTTAACACAGTATCACAGCCAGGATCTTGACACGGATGCAGTCAGGATCCAGTGCATTGCCATCACCACACAGATCCCACATGTGGTCCTTTTATAACCACGTCAACTTCCCTCCTACACACTCCCTCTTCCATTTCTGGCAATCAGTAATCAATGTTCTATTTCTATAATGTTGCCATTTTAACACATCGCATACCGCATAGAAATCTCTAAGACATACGCCAGGGACCGCACGTTTTTGGACAAACTTTGCACGTTAGGTTCTGAGCTGCACTCATTTGAACCAGCAGATGTCCACTCCCTAGCTACTTCAAGAATACAGAATGGTGTGCTCGAACTTCGACCCTCAGGGCGAAGAGTCACAAATACAATAATCTCATATTACCCTGAGTTTCAAAGACTGAAATAGTTAATGCAAGTGCAAACCCGAGTTAACTCGTGCGCAGTCCACAACATTTGGGCAGGAAAACACGAGTTAACTTGTGAGCGGTCAAAACTGTGTTAAGAATGCTATATAAATGAAATCATGAAGTATGTAGCCTTTTGGAATTGGCTTTTTTTCACCCGGCATAATTCCCTGGATACTCATCCAGGTTGCCAAATATATCAGTAATTTGTTCCTTTTTATTACTGTGGTATGGCGGCTTCAGTTTGTCTAACCGTCCGCCTAAGGAAGGACATCTGGGTAATTTCCAGAATGAGGTTGTTACAAATAAGGCGGCTGTGAGTGTAAAGATAAGTTTTCATTTCTCCGAGGTAAATGTCCAGGATTGCAGTCACTGAGGCAGATGGTATTTCTATATTTTTAAAAGAAATTACCAGACTCTTTTCCAGAGTGGCTGTAGATTTCACACTCCCACCAGCAAGGTGTTACCCAGCTTCTCTGCATCCTCACCTTTATTCAGTGTTGTCACTATTTTTTTATTTTAGCCATTCTGATAGGTTCATGGTAGTAGCTCTTTGGCTTCAATTTGCATTTTCCTAATAACTGATGACACTGAATTTTTTAATGTGCTTATTTGTTATATTTATATCCTCTTGGGTAAAATGTCTCTTCATGTTTTTACTTCATTTTCTAATTGGATTGTTGGATTTTGATTAAGTTTTGAGAGTTCTTTAAATAGTCTAGATAATAGACCTTGGATGGATATATAGTTCCTCCCACTTTGTGCTTTTTATTGATGAAGTCTAGCCTGTTGATTTTTGCTTTTATAAATTATGTGTTTGAAATCAAGTCTAAGAATTTTTTGCTTAGGTCTAGGTACCAACGTTTTCCCCCATGTTTTAAATTTTTTTTCTAAAAGTTGTATAGCTTTACATTTTACATTTAAGTCCATGATAATTTTGAATTAATTTTTCTACAAGGTTGGGGTTAGTTTTGTTATTAATAAATGTTTAATTGCTCCATCGAATTGCTTGTGTGTCTTTGTCAAAGGTCAGTGTGTGTATATTGTGCCTCTGTTCCCAGGTCCTCTGTTCTGTTCCATCGCTGGGTGTGTGTGTCCTTCTAACAGAACACTGCGTGGTTACTGCAGACATGCAAGAGGCCTTCACATTGAGAGTGACACATTTCATTTTGAAAATTATCTAGGTCTTTTGTTTTCCCACAGAATTTTAGAATAATATTGTCTACATCTAAAAAATATCTTTCTGGGCACATTTGCTTTGGGAAAATGGAATGTGCCAGATGGCAATTAAGAAAAGCTTATGGACCCCTGAAACTTAATAACTACATATAACATTGGAGAATTACTCCAGCCTGAGTAAATACTTTTATAAAGTCCATAATCTAAACTAACTTATTAAAACCTGCATTTTCCTGTTTTATTTTTCTTCTTCATTAACAACACGTTAATTGACTTTTCATGCCAAAATTTCAAGTCAAAGTGTGATGACATTAATATAAACAGACATAGACTTTGAAGAAAAATAAATAAAAGCACAAGTAGTAAAGTAAAAATTAAATTAAAAGCCTCTTGCCCGGCTGGTGTGGCTCAGTGGTTGAGCACCGACCCATGCACCAAGAGGTTGCCGGTTCGATTCCCAGTTAGGGCACATGCCCAGGTTGTGGGCCTGATCCCCAGTGGGGGGCATGCAGGAGGCGGCCAGTCGATGTTCTCTCTCATTGATGTTTCTCTCTCTCTCTCCCTCTCCCTTTCTCTCTCTCTGAAATCAATAAAGAAAAAAAATTAAAAAGAAATAAAAAGCCTCTCTTGAGCAACACAACATTCTCAAGACATTTCTGGGCGCTGTTGTATCAGGTAACAGGACAAATAAACATTATAACAACAGTAAGTGAAGTCAAAGACATAGTGATCTGCTTATTTTTATAGACGTGTTTAAATCACAGAGGTAAAATTTTAGTGGTCTACTTTTCATAATATTTAGTGTATCATCTAGATTTCTAAATTTCCAAATCTTTATTTGTACATTAAAAACATCTGAGAAATTGGATACATAGTAGGATGAGGGAAACTCGAACTAGCCTGGCTTTTATCCCTCGGATCCCCACTCGGAACACAAGGCTCCTTTATAATCTCCAGGCTGAGAAAACGCGGGGACAAGCGGGGGCCGAGGGCCGCGTGACACCAGAGAGCCTTCCAACGCTTTGCCTGAAACCAAAGGCACAGAGAGAGAGCTGCCTGCACTCCGGTTATAAAATGCCTTCAAGGAACAAGATGTAACGGAGGAAGGAAATTATTCTAAATCTCCATGTAGACAGGAAATGGCCTGAAGACAAGGAACATAACTTCTGAAGGAGATATTAATAAAAAGGTTCTTATACACCGGCGCCTCTGCGCACCGGAGACGGCCGCGTGGGAGAAGCCCCGTCCCGGCGGGAACCGCTCGCTTCGACGGGCAGCCCCGGGGAGCGTCTACAATCTGGGGCCCGGGGGGACACCCCACAGTGTTCTCTCTGAGACGCGAAAATGGTGTCGTTAGAGGATGAAAACCAAGGCACAGTCTTACAGCCGACTTCTGTGCCCGAGCCTTCGCAGGTTTCACCGCCGTGCAGGGCGCGAGGTGGACAGTGACCTGCTCATGTTCTCTCTTCCTCCAGCTGGAATGCCCTTCAGGGAGCATTACCCCAACTTCGGTGGTGAGTATGGGAAGTATTGGGTGATACGAGTCTAAATCTTTTTTTCTTTTTTCTTTTTGGTACATGCTTCTAGCGGGAACCAAACCGGGGACTCTCTGGTCCGCAGGCCGACACTCCAACCGCTGAGCCAAACCAGCCAGGGCATGAGTCTAATCTTTACTGAATATTTATGTGTGTGCCCATTTTGAATTTTTGTGAGAAGAAAAAGAATAGAAATTAGAATCAAAGTTAAAACTTACTATATCATGCTTATTATAAATTCTTTTATGTTAGATACCAAGGACAAAAAAACCCACACAATCATTTATATTCCTAAATATGTTTAATAATGTATTGCTATTATGTTAAACTAGCATAACTGTGTTCTTAAATCTAAATTATCTTATACATGAGTAGTTCTTGATTTAAAAATATACTCAACGTTATCTATTATTCTGACTCTTATATATATGTATGTGTGTGTATGTATCTATCCTATACATATCCTATACATATCATGTTACTCTATATTTACAGAATGCAGTGTAGAGGTCTCTAAAAAATGAAAGTCCAGTCGCTGCCTTGTGCTGGTGGCAGGTTGAGGACTATTGCTAATTAGAGCCAAACTGCAAGCTGTTGACCAGAGGGAGCCTTCTCCATGTAATGACCGCCTCACAAACCCATAGAAGCAGAGTGTTTGGGAGAAGGGACCCTCGGTCTGGAGCCCTGGTCACAGATGGCCCGGGGAGCATGGGAAGCATGACCCCGAAGTGAAGTTCCCCAGACAAGAACTGAGGCCTATGTCCCGCTCATCCTTTCTGATTCCAAAGTTATCTGTCATACATTTAGAGCCCACGTAATTATCAATCAAAGGCCATTCAGTGCTTCTTCATTCAATACATGCATGTCTTCCTCAATGATAACAAAATACCATAGACTGTGTAGCTCCAACAGCTGAGATGTATTTCTCTTGGTTTTGGAGGCATGGTGACCAAGGTCATGGTCGGTCCTGGTGAGAGCAGTCTTCCTGGCTTGCAGAAGGCCCTATTCTCGCTGTGTGAGAGCAAGCTCCGTGGTGCACGAGCCCTGTCTTAGGGCCCCGCTCTCATAACCTCCCAAAGGCCCCATCTCCAAATACCATCACATGGGGACTAGAGCTTCAACATATGAATTTGGGGAGGGCACAATTTAGTCTGTAGCAGTATGTATAGATGACGTGCTATGTGGAGGTTCTATGCCTACTTATCCTATCATCTTAACACAGCAGATTTGGGAAACACAGGGCTTTAGGACTAAAATAAATTACTTAGGCAACCAACAAAATACTAGAAAGACATATACTAGAAATGAAAAAATTACTATTTACTCGGATTCTTTGAGCAAATCACGATTTCTAAAGAACACAGAGCATTTTGCCTAGAAACTCAGCAAATTCAGAACTGACGACTGAGTTTTTGTTTAGTTTCATTTTATGGGTTCCTTGGCCCTTTGGACTTACCTTTCTTTTTCTCTTTGTTTTATGTACTTTGGGGGTCGGTAAACTATACCACTTCATTTAGATGGGTTTACTTTGCAGAGATTTGACATATTTCACAGTTGGTTGGAAAGTTAGCATCATCTTGGGGGAATAAAAAAATTGCCTGCTGTTAAATGTGGCTTCATTTAAAACTGTCCTCTAAGGGA